TGATTATGACCAGCAATAAATTGTTGTTCTCTAATCGCCATCAGTCAATAATGCTGTGTATCACTGTATGCTTCTATCAAATAAATTTATTCTATGATCTAATTTGATCTGAGTTTATCTATCACAGGTGAATAAGATATTTCTTTGACTCGTGAAGATTTTATGCCTCTGGTCTGTGTCTCAAGTGGATAGTTAATAAATTGATGATGCAACCACTACTGCTATTAATACTTGCACATTGTATTCATATCCGGCTGTCGATCAAAGGGCGTGTATACTGCTCAGCAGTTCGCTCTATCCTCTTTTATGGTTGGCTGTGAGACATGACCATTGAAAGCGGAAGATACGAAAAGACCAGCCAGTTGTCTTTGACCATAGGTGCCTGCGTTCTCTCTCTCGTGTTAGGTGGTATAATAGGGTGAGCGATATTGAGATTAGACTTCGGCCAAATGTTAGGCGAGGATGAGGGGAAATCAGTCGACGAGGTTGTGAAGTTACACCGATTGAGATTGTTAAGACACGTGTTACGCATGCATGCTTAGTCTAGCCATCGCCTTCCTCAACCGACGGGGAATGTTGGCTGACATAGCATGGGTCGATCAGGTTGGAAAACAGTTGGCTAGTGGTGGTCAAAGGAAAACATGGCTTCATTAGTTAATTAAATCCACAACAGTTAGTTTAAGCCAGTCAGTCACGTAGGGAGATGTAGTGTGGTGAGAGCTGTCTACTAACCAATTGGTTGACAGTAATTGAGGTCAATGTTTATGTATCAAATATTAGTCATGTTGTGGTGAGAGATGGTTGCTAGCCAAATTGGTTGACAGTAATTGAGGTCAAAGGTCAAGATGGACAGGCGGATACAGTTAACATATAGATGACACAGCCACAAGAGATGCGAGGTTAACTTTGTGTGAGAAACAACCAATCAACAGACTGTATTTTCTACTAACATTAACCTACAATAATGTACATCAAAATCTATAAATACGTGTTGATTTTCCGTAATAAACGTTCTGTTGCCTGGCCCTTGTCTTCTGTTGTTACAGTAGACTGCTGTCTGGTTGGGGTCCTCGGGATGGTAATCACTAATGAAAGCTGGAGACAATTTGTGATATGGCTCGAAATGGTTCTCAGTGATGGTGCAGATTCATCCGCCCTTTATGATTTATCATATCCGATAACGTTCTGTTGTTCTCCCGTATTACTACTCTTTTTGCCTCATATTTCTGTTTATTATCTCTCTCTCTCTCTCTTTTGAATGTCTCTTTACTCTCTTGTCTTGCTTTGTGTGCTACATGGATGGAATATGGCAACTTGATCTGCGGGACATCTGTGCAAAGTTCTATGTTGAAACCAGTCAGTCAGTCTTCATATTTCTAAGGTGATAATTACTTATTACTGCAGTGTGTGTATGTGTGTGTGTTATAACACATCAGTTACATTCCTTTAATGTGTATTGTATAGTAACCCGAAGACAACATTGTATACCACAACACATATTGTACTGATGGCTCAGCCTTCTTCAGTAGTACTTCATACTCCAGTATAAGAAAGGTTTGCATTGATGGCTTCTTTTAAAAAAAATAGTCTTCTCACAATCAATAATAGATGTGATGTAAAATAGTATAGATTCTAGATGGAGTAATAATACGTGTAGATATTTCTGCCTTTTTTTGTTTTAAGCACAACTGCTTGACTCTACCCCGTCTCAATCTTTCATAGACTTTGTGTTACAAGAAAATGAAAATCAATAATCATTGAATAGACGGCAATTGAAACAACCATTTAACTAAAATATGTAATATAAAATTCATAATTAATTTAGATGACTTTTTTTGAGAAGAAAAAAGAAAGAAGTTGACGAATTTTGATTTCTACAAGAGAATCTCATGATTATTTGTTTTGTTTTACACAGGCGTGTTCATGATTGCCTAGAATGTGTTGTGTTAGTCGGAGGTTTGTTGAATTTGAGCGTGCTTGTGCGCGCGAGAGAGAGCAAAACGAAGTGTCAATCTCATAACTTCTATGAAACTAAAAATGAAAAAAGAAGAAATTTATTGTATGCATGACGTAGTTACTTCTTCACCTACTCGCTTAGATGATGGTAGAGTATGGTACATACACTCATGACTAGTTTACAGCATTGCATTCCTGAATGATGCAATGCATAGTTAAACGTTGTGTTTATTATTATTCCATTTTATGCCTCGTGATTATTTTTTGAAAAAAGGTATTTCTTATTTTGTGATTTCTGAAGCAGGAGAATGTGTAGTCGTCTTTCATCAATAAAAACTTAGGTGGCTAGAACTGATTTTAAAAGTTATGTATCATCAACATTGTAGTATTTTGTTTGTTTTTTTAAAAAAACAACAGCTGTGAAATAGTGTCTTAATGCGTATTAACTTGGCACGAAATGATGAGAAACATACTGCTTCTTTAGGTTGATTTCATGTGCTCTTAAAAGTGTATTTCTTTGTTTAAAGATAATTTCATAACTGTCGTATAGGTTTTTTTGTTTTTAGATTATGAGATTTGTAAGGATTTGCATTAATTTCATTTCATTTGTTAGATCCAGTCACGAACTAACGCATTATTTGAGAGCTGAAGGAACACTGAGCAGCTGTGTCGTCCTAGTGTGCGACTCTTTGGTAGTGTGCATTCAGGACCCCACCTTGGGACCTTCACGTTATGAAACCATTGGGTATTCAGCCATTTGGGTCTGTGGATGTAGTGCTACCCTCACCAATGCCTTCAGAGATCATCCACTTCACGTTGATATGGTGGACCCTCCCCCCCCCACTGGTGATCCATCCATCAGCTACCATTGAGCTGGAAATTGATAGAGTATGTTTTTCTTGTTGATGAAAGTTATAATTCATAGAACATTGAATTCTGGCCCGATAAGACTGAATGGTCAGTGAGCTAGGCCTCATCATCTGAAGGCTCCGGGATCTGTCTCTGTTGCGGTGGTGTGGGGTGATGCGTGTTCATTTGTAAGGAGTCCCAAAGTAAAAAGGGAACAGTTGTTCAGTGCCACCTGAGTTTGCAATGGCCTCTCTAACTGATGTTTGTTCGTGAAAAATTCTAACAATTGAAATTAAATGACAAAAGGACTAAGTGAAAAAATATTTACTTTTCAATGGGATCCTCATCTATGACTATTATAATATTTACAGCATTTCTGAAACAATGGAAAAAATTTACCAATCTAGTGGCAGTATGTTTGTAGGCAATAATTAGTCAACATCACCGTGTCACTGAGGGTGATAATTAATTAAACAAATCAATATAAGCAATTCAAGGGTAGAAACGATTACAACAAGTGGATTGATTGCATTATGCATAATTCTGGAAATATAAGGAGTAATTAAGGAATAAATATTGTTCAAGTTAATTACACAAGAAAACGATTAAAAATGAGGGCGCGAGAAAAATAAAATAATTTGGACAATGTTAACTTTGAAAAAGGTTTAGGGGAGGTCGGAATTGTCTTTTTTTTGCATACACGTAACAATGGCCAGGATAAGGAAAATGGCTGCACGAATTTCTACTGAACACAGGTGGATTCTAATGGCTTTAACTGTATGTACAAGCCGAACTCGTAAAGCAAAATTAAGATTAATCAGAATGTGATAAATAACTTTAAATGCTTTATTAACATCAACACTAATGCTCGCGAATCTACAAGGTGTGCAAAAATAGAGCTAAGAATAGATCTTGTTTTTGTCCCTTGCTTAACCATGCAGGATGATGTTCGAAAACACATTACTCCTCAAGAGCAATCAAACTGCTAGGTACACTTATAGAAGAGGAGAAATTAGACAGTCTGACGTTATTTCTCAAATATGAGATTAGAATGGTTGTGAAGAGACAGAGGGTACCTATGCTACATTGAGTGCTCTTTTGAAATTAAGTTTAGTTTATTCTCATTGTAATGTTTATATATATATATATATATATATATATACATATATATATATATATACAACCCCGTAATGTATACATATTTCCTACTTGGTGTATATAATAATAATAGCCTTATTCTGAAAAATGTGTTTCTATACATAATACAGAAATTTTCATCGAGTCCCATTATAAGGTATTTACCCCTTGTGTAGAATTGTCCAGTAATATAATAATAATAATAATCCATAATACGTCATCTGAAGCAATATTTTACACTCGAAGTATGTGCGTCGGTGGCATAGCAGTTAGGACTCTCGTCGACCATGCACATGGTCCGGGGTTCGATCCCCTACCGATGCACACCTGGTAGATATCAATTGGTTGGCCTACAAAATTTGGGCTACCGATATCACATGCTGAAAATTCCATACTTATATCAAAAATACTGTGGGGAGTCAAGCTATAATCAAAAAAAGTATGCTTCAATGCTACTTCACAATGTTCTTCGTCGATTTCCTTCAACAACAAAAAGTCTTAGCGGTAAAATAGAGAGTTATTTGAAATGGGTACTCAAGTATAGATTACGATTCATTTTGATAATTAGAAGAATCAGATCTATTTGATTTGGGTTCAAAAAAGATGCATTTTGATTGGTAGATAGAAAATTTAAGTAGCCCAGTGATATTTAAGCAGATCGACGTAGTTCAGTAGATTAGGCAATTGATCCACTTTCTCTATGCGTTACATCTGCTGAGTGTGCGCTTTGGAGAGACAATGAGCACAGTATAAGAGTGCTTACGTAGTGTAGTTTATCATCCCTTACACAAAATTGTTTCTCCTGCTCTCCACTGTATTGCAGTTTACTAACAGAATACATTTTGTTGTTGTTAGGATATAGTCACACATGCACAAACACACACACGCAAACAAGCAAACAAACAAGTTGAACTTTCCATGTACTTTTGTTTATTTATTTAGTTAGTTATCAGGTGTATGTATTTTTGCAAAATTTCATTTTGTACTCTGTGTTGTTTTTAAAATAATTGTTTTACATTCTTTTATTTTTGCTTCTTTTCTGTTTTTTCTTTTTTCAGTTCTTTGTGGCCTTAGAGTTAGTCAAATGACTAAAACCTATGAAGACTTGGATGCAATTACACAATTGTTAGAAGAGGTAAGTAAGTAAGTGAGGAAGTAAGGAAAGGAAGTAGGCATTTATCTTTAATTGGAGGATGGAGGTCAACACAACTTATGTTGTTGTTGCTGTTGTTATGCCAGCTTTGTTTCTCATCTATAGTGTTCCTTATTTAGTATTTTTTAAAAATTGTCCTAAGACCAAAACTGTGTATGAATAAACACTGTTGGGACACTTGAGTAGTTCATTATTGCATAATTTTCACTAAGCTGTGTGTATATACTCTCTTTTTTTGACCGAGAAGTCCGAAAGTAGGTGGATTGGCTTGTTGTTCTAAACTGTATTCATCAATCCCTCCCCCCGGTTATTCACATAACAGTGTTGAAGATAGAGTGTGTGTATGTGATCACATGAAAGAAATCATATGACATTAGAAGTATCAGAGATGTATTTTATCCCAAAAATAAAAAAAACATGAACAGCTTCTCATGTTATCTTACTAATGGTAATTTTTCATTCTTCACTAAAATGTGTTTTTGAAGGTTATTGGGATATTTCAAAAGAAAACTGAGTTTAGTGAACAAAGAACATATTCTATTCGATGATGTCTTTCTTCATCAGGAGATATAGTTATATATATCCATAATAGTTAAAGAAATATTATTATCAACAACAAAAACATTAATATTCAAGTATTGGTTTGTAGGGATTTAGTTGATTGGTTACAGGATTTCATCATGAGCTGACATTGGTTAGGGAACCATTGGAAAACCAGTGGGGAGTACTGGACATCTGTTTCGTCCTAGTTTGGGACTCTTCATCAGTACGCACCCACCGGGTCTCGAACCCAGGGCCTTCTGGTTACAAGGCGAGTTCGCATACCATTAAGCCACTGGGACCCAATCCAATTGTCCATGAATTCCAACTTCTGCCAATTCACGATATAGCGCAACCGCTAGCCAATGTCTTCGGCGAAGATAACATAGTTTTATCTCTGATGTTAATATCATTGATTCTGTCTATGAATTCAAACACATCTAATATTATATTTCACTAGCTGTTCACGTAAAGATGTCGGAATAGCGTTATCAACCATCTAACTAGAGCATGGTAGGGTGAATATTGCATATCTAGAATTAGTCTTAACGGCACTGTAGGTTTACAGTAGGCCCTATAATCTCGGTATGTATGTGCCTAGTGGGTCTGAGTTCGTCGTCACATAAATTTACGGAAAGTATCTGTCCTTCCTTTAGGATGTACTAAAACATTTAAGATACAGACTTCACCACATGGACATACGTTATTTGTGATCTGATCTATGCATTCACTTACTGCCAGATCACACCTATTAGATGTGGAGGCGTGGATTAAGAAAACTAATGTTATAAAAACATACAACATGGTTAAAAGAGTGACACTGAACTGACTTCAGTTAAAGAATCACTGAATACTAGGAAGCACTCAACAACTGTTTCGTCCTCATTCGGGACTCTTCGCAGGACGCACACATCACCCCACTGTCAGTTTACAAGGTGAGCTCGTTTACCATTCGTCCATTGGGACGGAATCCAATGGCTTATCAACTTCTGTCGGTTCGCCACGTATATATAGCTCAACCGCCAGCCGACGTCATCGACGAGTACTTGTCCTCACACCTAACTTGGTGGACACCCACTGGTCACGACTTCCCACTAGAACTACAGACTAGTTTTCACCGGTCCTCCAGACTGAATTCGGTTCATGATCAATCTTTAATATTGATCAAATCCCTGCAAATCAACATTTGAACAACAATAATTAACCAAAGATTGTGCATTAGATGAGGAGATCGTGTGATGAGGAACTGAAACAGTATGGATTAACATGGATGCAAGTGAAAAGTACAGCAGAAGACAGAAGCAAGTGGAGGCGTGCAGTTGAAGCCCTATGTTCCACTAGGAACCCAAGGGAACAATAATAATAATATGTTCATTAGATACACATATATAAATATATTGTGTTTTGTACCCTTTTCATGCACAGAAACAAACAGATCTTGAATTGGCTGCAAAAATTGGCAAAAATCTATTGGAAAGAAATCGTGACCTTCAATCCAGACTGATTGAAACAGAGAAAAATTTATGTGCACGTGATGAAGTGGTAAGTCGATATTACTTTGTTATAAAAAAATAAGTCAAAATAACATTTAAATGTTGGATTTTTGTAGACTACACCTGAGTTTCAACGTAGAATTTAGCATAAAAGTTTCAAGTTTCCCCATTCCATATAGCACACAAATGTTGAAGAGAGAGACAAAAAGGAGATTCAGACGAATTCTAATGAGCAGGAAGGGATGGTAACCTGGAAAAATATGAAGGCCTAATGGATTTAGGAGATTATAAAGAGTGAAGGCATCATCGAGAACGATTTTGATTCATAGCACCAATAGTCTCTAGTCATTGGTTCTTAGAATCTCAAAACCCCCTCAACCTAGCAGCCTTACGTGACTGACTCAAATCAACTGTCAAATACTTCATGTGTTGATGCCAAATTTTGGTTTGACCACCCCTTCCAACTCTTTTCAACCTAATCCCTTATGAGCTGACATTGTGCTCGTCATAGGAAGCGGTGTCTCCGAATGTGCAGCACATGTTCTAACCATCTTATTTGGTGGTGGTAGCTATTCGAGAGAGAGAGAACTAGAGATAGTCTACGCCAGAAATAGCGTAGATGTGATATCCGACTATCGACCAAAGGGCGAGTGTACTGCTCATCAGTCCGCTCCGTCCTCCTTTACGGCTGCTGAGACCTGGCCATTAAGAGTGGAAGACATGAAAAAGATTAGCTGTCTTTGATCATAGGTGCCTGCGTTCTATCCCGTGTGAAGTGGTATAATAAGGTGAGCAATATTGAGGTTAGGCATCGGTCGGTTGCTAGGTAAGGAGGGAAAATCAATCGACTAGGCTGTGAAGCTACATCGACTGAGATGGTTAGGACATGTGTTACGTATGCCTAGCATAGCCATCGCCTTCCTCGACCGATGGGGAATGTTAGCTGACACATGATCAGTCTGGAAAAGAATTGGCTACTGGTGGTCAAACTAAAACATGGCTTTATCAGTCAATGAAATCCACAACAGTTAGTTTAAGCCACGTAGGAAGGTGTAGACTACTGTCTGTTTGGGGTCCTCGGGGCATTAAAAACCAATGGCTGGGAACAGTCGGTGATATGGTCAAAATCGTTCTCAGGGGCGCAGATGCATCCACTCCTTGTGACTTGTGGTATCCAATGAAACTATATTGTTCTTCATGAGCTGACATTGGTTAGAGAACCATTGGAAAATCAGCTGGGAGTACTGGACATCTGTTTCGTCCTAGTTTGGGACTCTTCATCAGTACGCATCCGCCGCGGTTTGAACCCAGGACCTTCTGGGTTAGAAGTTAGAATTCATGGGCCATTGGATCGGGTCCCAGTGGCTCAATGGTCTACGAGCTCGCCTTGTAACCAGGTCCTGAGTTGGAACCCTGGCGGTGGGTGCGTACTGCCACATGGAGGGAGTGTGTCGACTTGAACTGCTGCACATCGATGTACAGCTCTATGTCGGAAACAGACAGACAGACAGATAGAGATAGTCATTGAAAACCAGGGAGTACTGAATAGTTGTTTCATCCTACTTTGGAATGACCCCACCGTGTATCGAACTTAGGATCTTGAGATCATGAAGAGAACTCGGTGACCGTTCGACCACTTGACTCCAGTCAAGTGTCGAAACAACAAGTGTCCAGTACTTCTTTCTTGGTTTTCAATGATTCTCTAACTGATATCGTGTGTGTGTGTGTGTGTGTGACGAGATCGAGTTGAAAATATTTAATTGATGCTAAAAAAATAGCTGGTCTATCATATCAACTATACACCAAAGTTATTTTCATACTCTTCTCATCTCGTTCTAAATTTAAAACGACCTTGATTGATAATCTATGCATATATATACATTGTTTTCCCAATGCTACATACAATCTGAAATTCTGTTTATTTTTGCGAATGTATTTTTAAATCGTACTTTTATTCAAAAATATATATATATATATATAACTGTGGAAGTGTACTTTGTTCACTTCTATTCTTTTCCGTGTACTTCCTCGATGGCTTTTTATTGATTCTTCTGCCTTTTATTCTATCCATTTAGTCAGTTTATTAATTGCCTCATTTTTGATGTGTGTGTGTGTGTGTGTGGTTAGTGGTACTCTTCACACGGAATGAGAATGAATATCTGCTTATTGAAAAAACAAAACAAAAAAACGAAATATTACTTTGGTCTAAAATAATAATATTTATTGATTTAAACGAAATAAATCAATAACAGAGCGACTGAGTGGACCAGCCAGTCAGCTAGAGAGAGAGAGAGAAACTGCTTTTAAGATTTTCGTGCGACTTTTTAGTTATCGTTAATTGTCCTTATAATATTATGAATGGATAAATTCGATAATTGAAAAAATAGGCAATGTTATGGAGTAGGTACATATGCAGTGGTCTCGTTTTTCAACAGATCACATCAGATAGGTCAGTCTAGTGAGAGAAATCGTGGTGGTCACGTTATTATTTGGATACCTAATTGTTTTGTACTACTTCATTTCCCCCATTGTTAACGTTTAAAACTATAAGGATATCCACAGTCTAAGATGTTTCCACTGTTTTTCTACCTGAGAACTATTGAAAACCACGGAGTGTTGGACAGTTGTTTCATCCTTTGTCTGGGACTTTTCATCAGTGTTCATCTACTACGCCACTGGGAATCGAGCTCCAAGACCTTGAGGTTACCAGGCCAAGCTTGTTGGACCATTCAACCACTTGAGTTCATAGGACACCGGAGTACCTCCCAGCAGCTGGGTAGTTATTACCAGAAGGTCCCGTGTTCCATCCCTGATGGGGTTGTGAGTGTGTACCGATGAGGGGGAATCCCTAACTTCATCTGTCGTACAATACTCCCTGGTTTCTGATGGTCCTGTAACTGATGTCAGTTAGTGATTTGACCCTGAGTGTGACTTCAGGGTCAAGAAATGTTAAGAGCAAACAATTAATTTCAATAACTTAATAGTTTTAAACCCAACAATGTGTTAGGATTCAATATCCAATCTAATAGACGTATCAAACTTTGATTGAACACTAGGGGTAATAACTAATGTCATGGGTCGTCGTCCAGTCTTTCGTTTGCTGCACACTGAATTATATCCATCAAGTATGCGCCAACACCGTGGACCAGACGCATGTCACTAGTTACTTACAACCTGGTATCCAATCAAAGTATCCATTGTATTCCTACAGAGGAAGGTCAATTGCGAGCTTGAATAACTCAGTGGTAACGTCTATGAATACAGCACTGGGTGACTTTCGTTTGAATCTCATCAGGGACATGAATTTCCCCAAGGCTGCAGATCCGTCTTGCTGATGACTGGTGAGTGCCAACAAGCACGGAACCTAGGTAATCCAAGGCTTCCTGGCAAGTCCCTTCAACCAGCTGAGGCCAATCAAATCAGACGCTGGGGCAATAATAATAGTCTGTTGGTTTCGACTATCGTTTAAAAATGAGTGTAAAATGTATGTGTGGTCAATAACAGCATAATATGAAACATGAGATAAAACAGTTGAGTGACGTGCTGGTGTATTTCTAACTAACAAGAATATTGGTTCAAAGGGTTAGGTGTATCCAGTCGTATGACAGGGAAATATGAATACTACAAAAAAATAGGGTGCGCTGAATTTTAGTTCGAGGATGACAAGTAACAATAATGGTGAAGTGTACACTTCTATTTAATGATAATGATAGAAGTAAACACAGCGAAGTGGATAGCTGTAATTCAACTCACTTTATTTCGATAGGTTGGTGAAAACTTTATCAACTGCAAATTTAATTAGCCTTATGAATTAGTGGGATCTTCACACAATGATACACCGAACACACCTTATCCCCTGCCTTTTGAAAGATGAGACCAATGCATTCAATTTCATCCTGTGGCCCAACCACTAGACAGCCTTCTTCCCCGGTGGTTCAGCGGTAGAACGCTTGCCAACCACGCCTCACGTAGTCCAGGGTTTATTCTCTCGGCCGACGAACTCCTGAACCTAGCTAAGGTGGTAGTAAGGTCAGTAAAAAGGGAACATTGGGCGTGAGGCGGCTATCAACCCCACCCTTTAAAAATAAACACCAATGCTACCGAATCTTCAAAGCTTCAGCTTGAAGTCTCGGGAAGTAAAGGAATAAAATTTAATGAAACTAAATAACGGGATCTTAACTAACTACTTGTAAATGTACGACTATATCATAATTAGGAAATGTAGTCACTAATCGGTTTTATGCAATACCCGCTGGCTGATTTACAAGCTGAGAATTGAGTTATCATTTGGTTTTGTTCTTATTCTGATGAAGTACTGGACCGGTATTTTGTGTGCTATAAACTCGAACTTGGACCCCATCATTTGGACGTAACTGTTGCCCAGTGAGCGCTCCAGCTGAGACTCGAACTGCGAACCCACTCTTCTAAACCAAAGACATTATCCACTAGGCCATTGGTTCACGAAAGCCATCTCTTTTACAACGGGTATCACTTTAAAGCTATTTTCACACGTTTGTGGTACCCCTTTCGTATATCTGATGAAATTGATCAGCTTCATTTTGGTGAATGAGCTCATCGGACGGATGCCTGAAAGTTTCACAGTTGCTTGTTTAGCGTAGCACTCGTGTCCCAGTGGTGGTTACTGGGTCCGAGTCACCATCAGTCACTAGGAGGCAGATACATCTTGTCGATCATTCTCAGATAGGACGAAATGCGCTTCCTGAGTTCTGTTGTTAAACTCCGTCAAACAAGTTACTTTGAGTTCTTAGTCCTTGTTGTAATGACGAGACATCCATATAATAAAATTCAGTCAAACATATCCAAGGGAAATAAAACAATGTGAGGTTATTATAAAAACAGTGGTTAATAATTTTCCTCTAAAATGTCTACTTCTTTATTTTATATTTTCCTTTATTTCAGATAAGTCAACTGAATCATAATCTCAGTGTGAAAGACAGTTTACTACGGATATTTTTAAGGGATTCTGATCAACTTGAAGATGGTAATGATGACCAGACAAGTACAAAATCCAGTGGACATGTATCACCTATGCGTAGTCAAGGTTTATCGTAAGTATTGACAATTCGACCTAATTATTTCAGCTTTGTTTTGTTTTCAAAAGTAAATTTGCAAGGATTTGATTTGATTCAAATTTAATCTCAGATTGGTATTAGTTAAAGAACCATTGAAAACCAGGGGAGTACTGGACAGCTGTTTCGTTCTATTTTGCTACGGCTAAACAGTAGGAGTTGGAATTCATTGAGTCGGGTTCAAGTGGTCGGATGATCTATGAGCATGCCTTGAAACCGGAATGTCCTGGATTCGAACACCAGTGGTTTCGTACTGATGAAGAGCCCTAGATTAGGACGAAACAACTGTCTGCTACTCCCTGGTTTTTTTCGCACTAGTATAAGACAATTAAGTATAGGTAATTTCTTCTATACTGGAGAATTTTTAAAAAACAATCGTCTCATCGGTTTTGTAATCTATTCTGTGCTTTCAGCGTTTACCGTCTTTTGATTGGGATAATGGTTTAGTAATTCAACTTCTCGAACCTTACTCACTTTGACATCATTACGCTTCTGTTTGTGTTTTCTTTTTGTACTGTTGTGAAGTATAAAGGGCAGCCTTAACTGAATTCCCTGTACACACACTAGGTGGCTCTAGTTTAGTTAGCCCGTTTATCTGAATAAATAACTAACATTTAATATTGCTAGGTCTTTTTATATAATGCTTTATGTGTCTCATATTCCTCACGAAGATTTTGGAGCGTTTTAATTCTACTGGTTTACGTTATTTTTCTTTCGTTAGCTGTAACATGCGACTATCGTGTGTGTGTGCTGTGCAGCAGTTCACCCCGTCTTTCTTTATGTCTTTGAGATATAGGCGTTGAAAATGGGGGGGGGGGATATTATAAAGTTAACTGTCTTTGACCGCATATGTTTGCTGCCTGTTTTTTCCGTGTTAAGTGGTGTGGTATGCAAGTATGTAAGTAATAATTAGGTTAAACGTTGAGAGTTAAGGAAAATAATTATTGAGGTAGTTAAACTGTATCGATTGAGATGCCTGTAACCAGTGTTATGCATACCAAGTCATCGCCTTCTTCGTTTAGCAATATCTCCTGACAAAAGGACCAGGTTGGAGAAGAGTTAAGAGCTGTCGAATCAAAGCATGAAATCAGTTCGTGAAGACTTTGACTCTTGGTTTAATCCACGTAGGAAGGTACAGACGCTAAAATCTAATGGTCGCGAACTTGTTGATGACATGGTTCAAAATCCTTGTCAATGGCGCAGATGTATTCAGTCTTTATGAACTTCTAGATCGACTAAAATGCTCATTATTCTCCGCGTAATTATCTTCTGTACATTTCTGTTCAATACACAGTTCCTTTGATTTGTTTTCTCTATCTTTTGGATGTTCTGTATGGGGTTTGACAGGTTCAGCTGGTGTACGTTTGTGCAAAGGTGGTATACATTGAAAATTCATTTAGTCAATCAGTCAGTTATTATCAAAAAAACATCATGGAGATGTACCACACAAAATCTCGTAGTTTGTGCGAGGGCTGGGTTACTCTTCGGATGCACAGACCGAATCAGGTGATTGTCTTAAAGAGCCGACCCCGCCCCTCCGAGCCTTTGATTTGAAGTCTGGTTCACAAGGCAGTGGAGCGGCGTTGTCAGGAGTTACGTGTGTGTGACCAAAACAGGTTTATACACTGCTTGATCCTTTTGGATTGTGGAGCCTATGTACACCCACCGTAGGTTTGGGATCAAGGTTTTCCAACTCCCCTATTAGGTAAACATGAACATCCACTAGTCCGGATGATCATGAGTTGCAGATGTTCACATTCGTCCTTTCACTTCTGTGCGGAACACCGCCGACGATTGAAGTCAGTGAATACGGCTGAAGTCTATCCATCCTCGGCTGTATTAGGTGCTTTCGAGGGGTAGTCATATTCTTCATTGACTGTGATTAATGGTAAGGAGATATTTCTTCATTTGTCTGTCACAAAAATAATCGTAAAATAATACTCACAGAAATTGCGTAGAATTAATAACAATCATCGTTTGTTGTCTGTTTGCCATTTTATTTTTTCCCATTGACATTTGTGCCGTCTTTCACTCATAATCTACGTATACGTATACGTATAAAGTAACACTTCCCTAGCTGTGTTTATTGTAAATATTTTTTTTATAGGAATAATAATTTAACCAAGCAGTGTTTGTCTAACAGGTTAATCTCTGTGTGTGTGTGTTTGTGTGCGTGTGTATGTGTCTCAGGATGTTTCTCTATACACACAGAGAGGAAATTCTTTGTGATGAGAAATAACTATTCACTCATAATAAAAATAAAGAGATCCGTAGATATGTCAATGTTAGATTATGTAAGGAATGGTAAGATGTAGAATGGAGAGTTGTCAGTGACAGACAATATCCGTTGTTAAACCTGCAAAGAAAACACCAATGACAACAAAAACATAAGATTTATGAACAGATTAAGTAATGTGTGAGATATATAAATATGTTTAAATGTGATAAAATAGCTAAAACCAGTGGTAATCATAATACTGTTGTAGGACTGGCCCTATTCGGGCAGTTAACCTGAGGTTCTAGTGGGAAGTCGTGACCAGTAGGGTAGAGCAGGTTGAAGATGAGACAGTAACTCATCGAAGAAGACATTGCAAAATGGTCGCGCTATGTCATGAATTGGCAGAAGTTAGAATTCATGCACTGGCCATTGTATCGGGTCCCAGTGGCTACTGAACAGTTTACGACGAGCCGGCACGCGTTGTAACCAAAATGTCCTAGGTCCTTACTCTGGCGGTGGGTGAGTACTGATGAAGAGTCCCGAGCTAGGACAAGACAGCTGTCCAGTACTCCCAGCTGATTTTCCAATGGTTCTCTAACTGATGTCAGCTCATGATGAAATCCTCCATTCAATCAAAAATAGGAACACTTGATTGAGTCAACTAGGATGCAGAATAGCCACGTTCAAAGAAGAAGAAGAAGAAGAAGTGACATTGAATTAAAGGGTGGGTGAAAGGATGCTGAGACAGTGGAAGTAATGTTATTGTTATTATTATTATTGACAGATAGCTAGTTTTAAGTATAAATTTTACATCAAACTTCAAATCCACTTGCTTATTTCTTAGGTATTGATTTGTTGCCTAGGTAGCAGTTCACAAGGTTATTATTACTATTATTCCCTTTAATTCCTAGAGGAACATAGGGCTTCAGCCGTGCGTCTCCATTGCGTTCGGTTCTCTGCTAGAGTTTTCACCTGGCTCCAGGTCTGCTCACACGCTTTCGTCTCTTCTTCACATGACCTCCTCCAAGTCACCCTTGCACTGACGACCAACTCGCCGCTTCCTATTCGGGTTCCACTCGAGTGATGGCTTGTCTAGTGATGTCAATTGATGGTTGGTTTCCTCAGAGTATGACCAATCCATCTCCATTTCTTCCTGCCTATCTGTTTCACAATCGGTTCGTCGTTGGTTCGCTCCCAGAGATCTTTGTTGCTGATCCTTTCCGGCCATCTGATCTTGAGTATTGAGCGAAGACATCTGTTAATGAAGATCTGTAGTTTGTTTGAGATGCTCTTTATGACGCGCAGTGCAAGTCTCTGATCCGTACAGTGAGTAGCACTGACTTCACATTGGAGTTCAAAATCCGGATCTTATTTTTCATTCAGAGTGCTGTTGACCTCCGTTTTCAAGGTTAGAGTTGTCAAACCAATATAGGCCAATTTGAGTGTAAGAACTGATATATAGTTGGGCTTTCCGCGTATGCCCTTAGAATGCTTACCACACATTTCACTCTTGTCAAGCATAAGAGAGTATCTTGCAGAACTGGCATGGAATAGTCGCACATTGCATATGGGACAACTGGTCGTAATACAACAGCGTACCAAACGACAATTCTTGATCGAGTGTCCTCAGATATTAACCAGTTTACTAAAATGATAGTGAAGGAGTAAGTAGATATAGACCACTGTTGAATATCGATACTGATGTAGGCTATTGATTTTACTGCTTGACGACTTCCACTCTTATGAATTGATTGGGAGAGTTTTACAAGATTATAAATAACTCTTTGTGTTATTATATTAAAAAAAAAACTGGAATTTTTAATATTAACTAACTACTACTTAATGGAAATCTTCACGTAATGTAAATTCTCCTAAAATCGATAGATGGCTATAGAGAGAGGCTAGTTAGTTAGTTCGAATAACTTTGAAGGTCATACAGCCTGTATACTGTTGTATGCTGTTATTGACTTTTTATCCAAAATAGGCTAACGGAAGCAAATAGGAATCGATATTAAATCGTTGTTTTTTGTCCTGTGAAGAAATATATTTGAGGGTTAACAAAAAAATGTACATTATTATTATTATAATTGGTATTTCCCATTACGTGATTATGACTCATGTGTAAATAACACATATACTTCGATGAGTCATCTCTTTTCACCCCTTGACCTCGACTATATAAATAAATTAGACTTATAAATAGACAAAATCAATTGTCTAGTTTTTTATGAATCTTGTACATGATGAATCACTGTCTTATATAGGCATAAATATAATTTTCTATAGTTTGGTTTGTAAGGATTAGTTATGTTTTACGAGTTGATCACGGACTGATATCAGTTTGAGAACCATTGAAAACCAGGGAGTACTGGACAGCTGCTGTTTCATCCTAGTTTGGGAAGCATCGGCAGTACGCACCCACTGGGATTCGAACCCGGGACCTTCCGGTTACAAGGCAAGCTCGTATACCATTCAGCCACTGGGACCGGAAGGTCCCGGGTTCGAATCCCAGTGGGTGCGTACTGCCGATGCTTCCCAAACTAGGATGAAACAGCAGCTGTCCAGTACTCCCTGGTTTTCAATGGTTCTCAAATTGATATCAGTCCGTGATCAACTCATAAATATAATTGTTATTATACAGTAATAGAGATACGGTTATTGAGAAACTCGTACTCTAGATATATAAGTGTAGATTTAATATGGATTGTTCAGAATAAGTGTATTTTGTTGTTATACTTCTCATAATATGGTGAGTAGTAAT